CGGTCCCATCCCATTCACAATTACATTCCTTTGGGCCTCTCCCATACCATTCCCACTGTGTGATGATGGTTATCTGTGGTAGAGTAGCAATCCTACATTCTCCACAGATAAATGCATCCATTACTTTCACAGGCTTTACTTCCATGTCTCGGACATCAAGCTTACTTGATGTAGCTTTAAGATGTTTTCTCCTTCCTTGTCCTTCCCAGTGGCCTTCCAGTCCACTGGGTTTCAAGCAAATTACACAGCTGTTCTGTAATTCACTCCACTTGATTGCCTCATTTTCTGTTGACAGGTATCCATTTTTAGCATACTCCAATGTCTTCAGAGCCCTACCTGCCCAAAGCCTTGCAGTTGTCCTTCGTAATACGACTTCCCCATATACAGTGGCCATTCTGATGTAGGGGAGCACAGTGCTTGGTTCACTGGCCATAATCCGGTTTCTGGTTTTAACTCAGCAAAGAATTGGTGTCAGTTGCTCTATTCCTTGGATCCCTTTCTTTTCGAGTTCAACTGTGCTTTTATCGAATATCTTATTCACTCTGTCTGTGGTGCCGTATTTTGGCTTTACTGTAGCTGTCAATGTGTGATCCTGTGTCTTGATCCACACCTTCTGCCCCACCTTGAATGAGACGTCAAGATTTGGCTGTTCCTCTTTATCCCTAGAGCCCCGCCCAGTTTCCTGAGTGGTGTCGTTGGTTAAGCTCCTTCTCAGGGGAGGGCCTACTAACTTGACGCCTGTCTTTCAATGCTTGCCCTATCTCCACAGTTTTAGTGTTCCATTCTTTGGTGTTAGCATTTTTAACTATCCAATTTTTGACTAAACCTATGGTTTTTTTGGCAGCTCCGTTGGCTTGTGGTGTGTAGGGTGGTGAGTAAACACGCATCACCCCAAAAGTCCGGCACCAGTGATCAACTTGTACATTGCAGAAATGTGTTCCATTATCAGTTCTCAGCTCTTTTGGCACACCCAATGACCCACAAACTTGCTCCGGCATGCTAACCACACTGTTCCTGTTAGCTTTCCTTGCTGGTTTTACTACCACGTACTCTGACATTGAGTCCACTAGCACTATAAGGTATTTTTCTCCCCTCTTTCCAGAGACTCGCATGGGTCCGGCAACATCCATGCACACAGAACACCATGGTGTAGTACTCTTAATAGTCTGCCCATCCACTCGGTGTCCTCGCCGTCCTGCGTTGTATTGACTACATACTTTGTAGTCCTGTAGCACCTTGTGGACTTGCTTTAAGGGAAACCAGAGTTCATGATTCTCCAATTCCTTACGTGTAGGCAATACGCCTGCATGTCCTAAGGCCTCATGCACGCTCCGTACCACCTGAACTACGTACTCTTCTGGGACCCTCCGCCCCTGGGAGGTTCTGTCCCACTTCTCGATCCCGACAAAAACAATCTTTAACTGTAGATTCAGCCTTAGTTCAGCTATTTTCTTCCACAAGTCAGCAGCAACATGATGTGGTTTTTCACAGTGATTATTCTAGTTAGAGATTCATGAGTCTAACAGCCTCAGGGTAGAAGCTGTTCCTCAGTCTAGTGGTTCTACACTTAATGCTCCTCAATCTCCTTCCTGGTGGGAGTGGGGCAAAAAGTGTGTGTGCTGGGTGAGTGAGGTCCTTCATGATGCAGGTAGCCCTCTTCCTGCATCTAGAGGTGTAAATGTCTGTGATGGTGGGGAGGCTGACTCCGACAGTCTTCTGTGCAGCCTTCACCTCTCTCTGCAAAGCTTTTCTTTCTGCAGCTGTGCAGCCTCCATGCCACACGTTGATGCTGGAGCACAGGATGCTCTCCACTGCACACCTGTAGAAGGAGGTGAGGACTGAGCTTCCCAGACCAGCTCGTCTCAGCCTACTGTTCAATTTCAAGTTCAATTTCAGCCCTGCTTCTGTTACTCTCTGCACCACCTGTGTCAGTCTTTCCAAATGTCCCTCTTCGGTGTCATCTGCGATAAACACATTGTCGATGTAAATTGTGGCGCCTAGGTCTTTAAGCACATCCATTACATCTGACTGAAATATATTCGGAGAGTTTTTGTATCCCTGTGGTAACCGCTGCCAGACGTAGCTTTTTCCTTTATGAGTAAAAGCTGTTTTCCCTTGTCAGAATCAGAATAAACTTTATTGGCATTGCACTGAGATACAACACGAATATGTACGTACAGTCGTCTGAAAGATGGACGGAGCGCACAAAGCTGTGGCTATAAATAACGTGGCCTTCTTATTCTTATTCAGAAAAATATTTTACTTAGACGAGAAAAGGGAATAAAACATGAGGAGAGACGTATAAAAAAAAAGATCTCTCATGCCGTGTCCTAGACAGGGCACAAATTGAGGCATCAAATAAACCTACCACAGCAAAGCAACATAAATAGACGTTATACATGTACATATAGGCCGGTGAAGACATTGAATTTTTAAGGGAAAGTCGTAGCATAGTCCAGAGCCCCCCTCTCAGCCATTGTCCAGATAAGAGGTGTCATTCATCATCAGCTCGGTTGAGGCTCTGTCACATATCCATGGCCTTGGGAAAGGGAGTGGTGAGGAAACAGTCAAAGCATCTTTGTTGTTTTCAAAACATTCTAGGAGGAGTTGACATAAGTCCGGCGTCAAGGCCACAGTTTGAGTAATGCAGAACTCGTGAATTGCTGTTCCTGCCTTTTTAAAGTCTCGCTGGTATATATTCAATTCAATTCAATTCAGTTTATTTATATAGCGCCAAATCACAACAGAGTTGTCTCAGGGCACTTTACAGAAACATTCACATACATAAAATGGTAAATGGTAAATGGACTGTACTTATATAGTGCCTTTCTATCTTATTTCAAGATACTCAAAGCGCTTTACACTACAATCTGTGTCCTCATATCAGAGTCAGAGTCAGAGTCAGAGTCAGAGTTTCTTTATTGTCATTCGCACCTCATGTGGTACATGTGGTGGAGCGAAATTATGTACACAGGGTCCCAGTTACATCCAACAATAAAATGTATAAGAAAAACAGTAATAACATCTAAGATATGAACTAAGAAAAACATCAACTAAATATACACTAAGCACTCATAACATAAAACATTGAACATCACCACAAACATGAACATGAGTCTGTGAGCAGATGTGCACGCATGAACACATCAACATTGAAACAGATCAGCAGCAACATGAAACAGATCAGCAGCAACATGATATGGTTTTTCACAGTGATTATTCTAGTTAGAGATTCATGAGTCTAACAGCCTCAGGGTAGAAGCTGTTCCTCAGTCTAGTGGTTCTACACGTAATGCTCCTTAACCTCCTTCCTGAGGGGAGTGGGGCAAAAAGTGTGTGTGCTGGGTGGGTGGGGTCCTTCATGATGCAGGTGGCCCTCTTCCTGCATCTGGAGGTGTAGATGTCTGTGATGGTGGGGAGACTGATTCCAACAGATTTCTGTGCAGCCTTCACCACTCTCTGCAAAGCTTTTCTTTCTGCAGCTGTGCAGCCTCCATGCCACACATTGATGCTCGAGCACAGGATGCTCTCCACTGCACACCTGTAGAAGGAGGTGAGGACTGAGCTTCCCAGACCAGCTCGCCTCAGCCGTCTGAGGAAGTAGAGTCTCTGATGAGCTTTCTTGATCAGGCTGGTGGTGTTGTTGCTCCAGCTGAGGTTGTCATTCATGTGTACACCCAAGTACTTGTAGCTGGAGACCACTTCCACCGCAGATCCTCTTATGTTCAGGGGGGTGTAGGTGTTTTTGTTCCTTCTGAAGTCCACAATCATCTCCTTTGTCTTCTTCACATTGATGTGAAGGTTATTCTCTCTGCACCAGCTCTCCAGGTGTTCCACCTCTTGCCTGTAGCTGGACTCATCATTGTTTGTGATGCATCCCACCACCGCTGTATCATCTGCAAACTTTACAATGTGACAGCCTGGATGGGTAGCTGCACAATCATATGTGAGCAGAGTAAACAGAAGGGGGCTCAACACACATCCCTGAGGAGAGCCAGTGCTGAGGGTTATGGTGGAGGAGGAGAGGTTGTGGATCCTCACTAACTGTGGTCTGTTTGTTAAAAAGTCTAGTACCCAGTTGCAGATGGAGGGGCTTAGTCCTAGTGTGGATAGTTTGTCCATCAGGGTTTGGGGGATCATGGTGTTGAAGGCGGATGTGAAGTCCACAAAGAGCATACGGACGTAAGAGTTTTTCTGCTCCAGGTGGTTGAGTGCAGTGTGGACCACAGAGGAGATTGCATATATGTATGCATATGTATATATGTGTATATGTGTATGTGTGTGTATGTGCATGTGTGTGTATATGTACACATCTACTGACTGTGAAACTAATTGCCCCTCGGGGATAATAAAGATACTTGAACTTGCTCATTTTACCTTTTAAGCTACTAATGTAACAGAATATCCACTAAAAGCTAAAAGTAGCGGAGTGATATGGATGCTGCTGGACCTTCAGAGATCTGAGCTGAAATCTCAATGAACTGAAGCAACAATTGGAAAGAAGAGTGGGCTAACATTCCTCCACAACAACGAGAGACAAACAGAAAAGTACTTGCTGGTTCTCCAAGTTGCTGGTGTCTGTGTTAAACTCTGGAAACTCAACAAAGCTGGACATTGTTTTCCCATAACTGTGTCTGTTCTACAGGAACATAATTTCTCTTTGGGGACCACTCCAGTTTTAAAGAAACCAGGTCCATTAAAGCTGAAAACATTAAGTGTGCTGTTTGCATTAAGGGGTCATTTTTCAACAACATTAGCTGCACTAATAGCAAAGACTGAAAATAGAAGCAACTTTTCATTAAAAGCCTGAAAATGTCCAAATAATCAGCAGCCGGCCGTCAGGGAATGACTGTGTAATGACCAGGGGACAATAAGAGGATCAAACACATTTAGCTCCTTGCTTTGATTGATAAGTGACTTTTTAATTGTTTTAATTAGTTTATCAACCGAATGAGAAGCCAGCTAATGTGTCAACAATGTGATGCTTGTTGTTTCTGTAGTTCCTCCTCAGTTCCTGAACTACCCGACCAACACACACGCCTACGAGTCCACCGACATCGAGCTGGAGTGCGCCGTGACAGGAAACCCGCCACCCACAGTCCGCTGGATGAAGAACGGGGAGGAGGTCATCCCCAGCGACTACTTTCAAATGGTGGTGAGCGAACAGGAAATTGTGCTTTCCTAACAGGAAGCACTTAAGTTTACGGTTAAAACAGTCACAGGGTGAAACCTTCTCTGTTGTCCCTCAGGACGGCACCAACCTGCAGATTCTGGGTTTGGTCAAGTCGGATGAAGGCTTTTATCAGTGCGTCGCTGAGAACTCTGCCGGCAGCTCACAGGCCATGGCTCAACTGTTGCTACGGGAACCAGGTAGGAAATCTGCACGGTCGCCTACATCACGATGAATTTTTGTTTTCATTATTAATGTTTCACTCAGAATGTTCTGCTTTGAGTTCTGACCACTCTGTCTAGAGTTTAATCTGCCAAACATAAAACAAATAAGAAATATTTGCTATTTATGCTGTGAATGAAGGTGTGGTCCTACCTTTAGCTACTATTCTGCTGATTTTAACTTTAGCTTGTCGTATTTAGTCTAACTTAATATAGCTTCTGTTCTGCTACTTTTAGCCTTTTGTAAACATTTTGCTACTTTTAGCTTTTAGCTATCATTTTGCCATGTTTAGCTTTTAGTTATCATTCTGCTACATTTAGCTATTATTTATCATTTTGCTACTTTTAACTTTTAGTTGCCATTCTGCTACATTTAGCTATTAGTTATCATTCTGATACTTTTAGCGTTCAGTTACCATTCTGCTACTTTTACCTTTTAGTTATCAATCTGCTACTTTTAGCGTTCAGTTACCATTCTGCTACTTTTAACTTTTAGTTACCATTATGTTACGTTTAGCTTTTAGTTAACATTCAGCTACTTTTAGCTTTTAGTTACCATTCTGCTGCATTTAGGTATTAGTTATCATTCTGCTACTTTTACCTTTTAGTTACCATTCTGTTACATTTAGCTATAAGTTACCATCATGCTACTTTTAGCGTTTAGTTACCATTCTGCTACTTTTAGCTATTACTTACCATGCTGCTACTTTTAGCTTTTAGTTACCATTCTGCTGCATTTAACTATTAGTTACCATTCAGCTACTTTTAGCATTTAGTTATCATTCTGCTACTTTTAACTTTTAGTTGCCATTTTGCTACTTTTAGCTATTAGTTACCATGCTGCTACTTTTAGCTTTTAGTTACCATTCTGCTGCATTTAACTACTAATTAGGCCCGAGCAGCGAAGTGCTGTGAAGGCCTATTGTAATCACTCAGTTCATTAGGCCCGAACAATTTTTTTCCGTCAAATGAATTGGCCTTATGGGGGGCCTTAACATATCCCAAAACTCACCAAATTTAGCGGACGCATCAGGACTGGTGAAAAATTACTCATTTTAAGGGTGTCGCAAAAAATCGAAACAGAAACGGCTCAAGAGCGCCACCTGGAAAATTTCAAAATACCCTCTGCATTAACCTTAGTTTGTCGTAGAAGCTTGAAATTTGGTACATTTGTCCAATTCCCCAAGATGCACAGAAAACCCTCTGGCACTAATGTTGTACTATAAACAGGAAGGCGGCCATTTTGGAATGCTGTCCCAATTTTCACACCTTTTGGGCGGAGACCTCCTCCTAGGGATTTCACTCAATCGGTTTCAAACTTGGCATTTTGGTCAAAAGGCATGGGGAACGAAAAGTTATCTAAACGGTGCGTTTCGGAGCATGCTGAAAGGGCGGGGCCAGACCTCAAATTTTGACAGCTTGCCATGAAAAATGAAATGCTAATAGCTCCTACACGAATACTTTCTCAGACAGCAACCCTTCAGTGATTAATCCACATCCCGTCCCCTGCAAGAATGAATGGTCAAATCATGACATCACTTAAGCCACGCCCCCTGACAAAAGGAAATGAAAAGTTTTACCTTGAACGGTCCCTATCTGACCCCTGTGATGTAATCGGCATGATAGTGCGTCCAGTGACTGAAGACATGTTGGTGTAACTTGCTTTCCAATGCTGACAGTTTTGGGTGGAGCATGTGGGTGTCGTGGCGTGGTGAAGTAAGACGTAACGCCGTCGCCATACGTTTGGCTCTAAATTCCACAGATTTGAGCCGAGATGCACCAAAATCAGTATGATCAATCATTATCCATCCCTTAAACAGGAATGCATGAAAAGTGGCCAATAGCCTCCAGAGCACCCACTACATAATTCCTATAGTTATATCTCAGTGTTACGTCATCCGATCTGTACCAGATTTATTGTGCGTCATTAGTGAGCACTTCTATACACATTGATATTGTGGTTTAACATATGACTCCAGTGCGCCCCCTAGATTATTTCAACAGTTATATCTCAGTGATACATAATTCGATCTGCACCAGATTTTTGGTGCATCATCAGTGAGCATGTCTAGACACATTGGTATTGTTGTTTAACATTTGACTCCACTGCGCCTCCTAGATTATTCCAAGTTATATCTCAGTGATACATCATCTGATATGCGCCAGATTTATTACCATACCATACCAATTTATTTATAGAGCACTTAAAACAGCAACAAGGCCAACCAAAGTGCTGTACAAAAGAAAAACAAACATGCACAGCGGACAGGAAAACATAAAATAAAAATACAGATACAAATAGCAGCAGAAGCTAACTAAAAAGGCCAACAGAGTAGAGAACAGACCGGACCAAAACAAATCACACCGTGTTAAAGGCAAGCGAATAGAAGTGGGTCTTCAAGCGAGACTTAAAGACTGAGAGTGTGGGAGCCTGCCGGACACTCAGTGGCAACTCATTCCACAGTCGTGGACCTGCAACAGAGAAAGCCCTGTCACCTCTGAGCTTACGATGGGTTTCTGGGACTGAGAGAAGCATCTGGTCTGCTGACCTCAGAGAGCGCGGTGGGACATATGGCTGCAGAAGATCCGTGAGATAGGATGAGGCGGAACTGTTCAGTGATTTAAAAACGTACATGAGAATTTTGAATTGGATCCGAAGGTGAATGGGTAGCCAGTGCAGGGAGGCCAAAACTGGCGTGATGTGCTCTCTATAGCCTGTACCAGTTAAAAATCGGGCTGCAGCATTTTGGACCAGTTGTAGACGAGCAATGGAGGACTGACTGATTCCAAACAGAAGTGAATTGCAGTAATCAAGCCTAGATGTTATGAAGGCGTGGATCACTGTCTCAAGGTTCTTTTTGGAGAGTATAGGTTTCAGCTTAGACAGCCGTCTCAGCTGAAAAAAACAGGATTTGACCATCATGTTTACGTGACTGTTGAGTTTTAAGGACGGGTCCATTATCACCCCCAGATTAGTGACCTTTTGTTTCTCTAGCGGGGCTAGAGAGAAAAGGTCAATGTCATGGTTCATGAGTGAGCCACTGGGATGGAACAGCATGACCTCAGACTTCTTCTCATTGAAGCTTAAGAAGTTTAAAGCCATCCAGTCCCGGATGTCAGCCAGGCAGTCAAGAAGAGGCTGAATAGAGCGTGTGCCTCTGTGCCTCAGGGGGAAGTAAATTTGGCAATCATTGGCGTAGAAATGAAAGGGTATGTTGGGTTTGCGGAAGATAGCACCTAGTGGCAGCAGGTATAAAGAAAAGAGAAGGGGACCGAGGATGGACCCCTGCGGTACCCCCCACTGGAGCGCTGTCGATGCCGAACTAAAATCTTTGATATTGACACAGAAGGTTCTGTCAGAGAGGTAGGACCCAAACCATTTAAGGGCTGACACTGTGATGCCCACCCACTGCTCCAGTCTAGAAATGAGGATCTTGTGGTCGATGGTGTCAAAAGCAGATGTAAGGTCCAATAGGACAAGCAGCACAGAATCACCTGCGTCTGTAGATATGAAAATGTCATTAAAAACCTTCAGTAGAGCAGTTTCAGTGCTATGGAGAGATTTGAAGCCAGATTGGAATAACTCTAGGATAGCGTGATCCCCCAAAAACTGTTTCAACTGAGACTCCACAATTTTTTCCAGTAGTTTAGAGGTGAATGGGAGTCTGGAGACAGGCCAGAAGTTGGACATGACTGAGGGGTCAAGGTTAGGTTTTTTCAGGAGGGGCTGGACAGCAGCATGTTTAAAAGTCTTTGGCACTACACCTGAGGATAAACTGCTATTCAGAATAGCGAGGATAAAAGGACCCAGGGTAGAAAAAACTTCCTTTAGTAGTCGAGGGGGGACCACATCAAAGGGGGAACCAGATGGCTTCATGCTGCACATTACCTGCTCCAGAGAGGACAGAGAGATGGGCTCAAAGTGGTCAAACACAGCCACACACTGAGATGGGATGGACAGATCATGAGCTGGCGGAGAAATGAGTGCCCGGGTGTTTGCCACTTTTTCTAAAAAGAAATGGAGGAAGTTTTCACACAGCTCAGTTGAGGCTTCCAGAGGTGAAGGCTCACTGAGGTGTAGAACTGAGTTCAGGGTGGAGAAAAGAACTCGGGGGTTGTGGGAGTTGGAGACAATTAAATCAGAGAAGAATTTACATTTGGCAGCTTTAACGGTTTTCTGATAGTGACGCCAACTCTCCCTTAACATTTGAAAAGACACTTGGAGCCTGTCCTTCCTCCACCTTCGTTCAGCTCTGCGACACTGCCGCCTAATGGCTCGCGTGACGTCATTCAGCCAAGGCTCTGATCTAAGTTTCGTTTTTCTGGTCTTAAGGGGAGCAACACGGTCCAGAACATTTAAACAGGCAGAGTTGAACTGAGAGGTTAGCTCCTCAGTGGTAAGAGACACCGGGAACTGTTCGATCCTCTCAGAATTAAAACCTTCATTAAACGAGCAGCAGTGAAACGGTTAATGGAACGCGTACGTGCAGGAACGCACGTCTTAGCAGTATGACAAGGGGGGGTAAAGTCAAACAATACAGGCATGTGATCTGAAAAAACATTGTCACCGATTTTCAAATTAGAAACAGAGACATCGCGTGTTAAAACGAGGTCCAGCGTGTGACCGTGTTCTTGGGTGGGGCCGCTCACCTGCTGAGCTAAGCCAAAAGAGTCCAATAAATCCAGATTGTTTGTCCAGATTATTGTGCTTCATCAGTGAGCACTTCTAGACACATTGATTTGGTGGTTTAACATATAACTCAAGTGCGCTCCCTAGATTATTCCAACAGTTATATCTCAGTGATACATCAGCCGATATGCGCCAGATTTATTTTGCTTCCTTAGTGCGCACTTCTACATACATTGCTTTTGTTGTTTAACATTTGACAAAAGTGCGTCCCCTACATTATTCCAAAAGCTATATCTTAGTGATACATCATCCGATCTAGACCTGATTTTTTGTCCTTCATCATTGAACA